ACATCTTCCGCTGCTTTCCCAGGCACATTAGCAGGGAGCTGGATTGGAAGTGGAGCAGCTGGGATTCAAAATGGCACCCATATGGGATGCTGGCACTGTGGATGGTGGCTTTTTTTTTACTATTTGAATCATTCAGCCAGTAAAAGTACTTCACTGAACTTCCCAGAATTTCTTAGTTTTCAGCTTAACAATTATTGAGAATTTTATTTCTTAAAAAACAGTTGGGGAAATTTCTTAGAATATGTGAAACACATTTATTCACATAATCTTCTATTTCTGTTAATAAAATGTTTACTCCATATTGATTTGGCATGATCTAAAATATAGCCTAGTTGAAGAAATTTTTTAGTTACTTTTGAAACCAGTAGAACACATATATATTCCAATGCTGCATTTCTAAAATAGAGAACTTATTCTTTTCTCCCCCAAAAATGTCGATTTGTGATTAAGCTCCTTATTAACAATCTTTTATTTTTTCAAAGAAGCTTCTGTCCTCAGTGTTTTCTTTTTTCCAAACCAGAAGTACAATTTAAACTGTTGGTTTTACACAAAAATATTATAGCCAAGCAAATTTGTATAATCAGTCATTTCTGAGAATTTATGCTATACTGTAATTATGCTGTAGATAATTTATGATTTTTATGATTTGGGAGTTGAAATGGTTCTTTAACATTTAAGGGATAAAATTTAATCAAAATTGATTTCCCCCCCATCCCTTCCTAGTCCTCAAACCCTTTTGGCCGGCATGAATAAATTTTTGTCTCAGCTTGAAATTACATTCAGAAGAGATCCAAACAACTATAGACCACGAATAAACAAACTCAACTCAATTAAGGTATGTGAAAAACCATCCTCAGAGTTAACTTCGATTTCAGTATAAAAATTAAAAGTTTGGGTCTTTAAAAGCCATTGCCATATTTTATTCTGATACATGTTATTTTACATGTTGATACCTAATGGCATTCTCCAGTCATCTGGGCATCAGTTGTGATGTAGCTGCCATTGTGCATGGACTCAAAGCTGTTCATGTTGTGTCTTGAGTATATTCACTGTGTTATTTCCCATGTTCATTGCCACTTAAAATGTCTGAAGCATTGTCATTCTGTTGTGTAGGTGCATAGTTCAGTCCAGGCATACCTGTTAATCATTTCTGTATGCCCACCTATCTTAGACCATCATACCTTAATCCTAACAAAGGAACTGGTAGGCAAGGAGCTACCTGGATTATTACTAGCCAGTCTATAAACAGTATTGGCAAAAACTTGTTTTATATACATTTATGTAATAGGTAGTTCTCACACTAACATTGTTATCTTTTGAGCCAGAGCTTAAAGTTGAAATGAGAAAAATGGAGTTTATTTTCCCAGAAATATAATACATTTTATATATGTACGGTATCTTCTGTAAAGGGAATTAGCTTGTATTGCAGTGCAAGTGGCTTAGTGATAGGGATGAGGGGCCAAGGGTAGCCATCTTGCTTTGTAGTGGACCCCAGAATATGCAGAAGTAGGTGGTGAGTAGAGGTTGTCCAGGCCCTGTAATAAACACAGCTAAGTAATCCCATGCATGAAAATCTGCCTGTACATTTATGGAAATGATGTTGATTTTTATTACTTCTCTATTTTGTAGGATGTAGAACAGAAGAAGAGTGGAAACTACTTTTTCTTGGATGATTAGACTGAATCTGAGGAAATCAATAAGCCATTTACTAAAAGAAACATTGACTGGGATTTTTGTCATATAAAACTTTAATCAGGTTTTATGCCCCACATACTCTGGAACTTGAAGTATAATCAATGTACATCAAAAGCCAGTTATGTTATAAATTGTAGTCTGAACACAGAAAATGCCACTTTCCTGGAAAAGTTCATAAGGCACTTTTGTGCATATTCTAAAATGAAGACATTTCAAGCTACACAAATTACCTCCAAGTTTTCATGATGTATGGGAAGATTCTCAATAGTGTAATATATACATGTACCAAATGCTGACCAGTGTGTGCCCCCTCTAGAAAAATCTTGAAATTACTTTCTGTGCTTACCTGGTTTGCCAAGTATGCCAGTATAAGGAAATTTATTTTATAAGCTGGTCAAAGACCCCATTGATGATATTTGATAAATAAACATGAGGACTATATTAGTTACTTGTTTCCAATCTTTACACTGATAATATAGTGCGAAGTTTCTAAGACTACGAAAAAGCACCATTAGAAAAATGAGTATTAAGTTTTTTGGTGCTTTTGACCATCACTATCAAAAATTTGTGTCCCCTGCAAAAAAAAAAAAACCCTAACTTACCTGGATTTGTCAGTTTATGCATTTTGTAAGGCTCCATACTCTGTAATTATTCTAATGCCATTTTTAAGCATTTATGTGAGTGTAACCACCAATTATAATTATGAAAAAGCATTTTTAAAGAATTTTTTGTTTGCCCTTGTTCCTAGACTCCGAAATCTTTGGAGTAGGTACCTCAGCATCTGTGTGTTTTTTAAACTTCCAGACTCTTCAGGTGAACACTTCCTCAGTAGCAGCGTTATTGCCAGCGTGGCCAGATAGCAATACCAAATACCCTTGGTACCAGTTGTGAATAAAGGTTATTACCTAAACCTCTAACTTTTTTAGTTTTGGACAGTGTGTAGCAAAAGTTCTAAGAACTTCTCCAAATATTTTAAGTTCCTAAATCTGAACAGCAGGATAGTTGTGGCCAGAAGCCATTACTAATTGTATTTGCAACTAATGCACTGAACTGGAATTAATCTATGAGTAAGGAAGATTTTACCAAATATATTAATAGGGCAAGCAAAATAGCAGGGGAGTATGGAAATGACAGGATTTTAGAACTCTTTTATAGAAGAGCAGCCTTAATATGTAAAAAAGTGGAAAATATGGTTTAACTGAATAATTAGGCTTTCTAAACAAAATTGATGTTAATAATCCACAAATACTTGTGAAAGATTCAAATATACATAAATACAGAATAAAAAATGCCTACCCTTCATTACCCTTGCAGCAGTTAGCGGTGTGAGTTTAATATGCTCATCCATGGGTTTTGTGCACTTACCTAAGTGTGAATATGTAAAGGGTTTGTTTTGTACATAAATGGGATCACACTAAATGAGTAGCAGCTATTTTTAAGGATAGGTTAAATTTGTGAATGATTATTTTAAATATATTGATAAAATAAGACAAAAGCTATTTTTATTTACTGATTTCCATATTCTGTCCTTAAGACTTGTGAAATAACAGGAACACAGCTATTTCTCCTTATTACTGGTGACAGAATATTATATAATGTTTTTCATGTAAATACCAAATATGGATTTATCTGTGAAGATTTTAAATAGTAGAAAAGCTGTATAGTTGCTAACACAACTATATGAGGTTTGTCTGTAAAATCAGTCTTACCAATGAAATCACGTACACCAGCAGTGCAGATGTTAGCTGTTAAAACAAGGAACTGCTGTCTTAACTAAAATAAAATCTGGAATATTACATAAGTTGGCAAGGGTCACAACACAGTTATTTAATATTCTGCCACTCGTAGGAAAATATGCAAAATATTAAAATACAAGAAACATTGTAACAGATTGCTTTTAGAAAAGACAAAGTGGTTAAAGGATGAAGATAGACGTAAGCTTTTGAATTTGTGCGCATCTAATGTAAAAATCCTAACAAAAACAATATAATGGTGGTTCGTTTTTTCTGCAGTAACAATTTTAGACCACTAGCATCCTGTATATCACTTAGCTTATCACATCATGCAGTGGACCTATTGTATTGATTTAGTGACAGTATAAACAACTCAACATAGTTTCATTGATGTTCATCATCATATGTGCTTATCAAGACTTAATGCAGTCAGTGACATACTGTGAGCACTCCATAGTAGTTGTTCTGCATCAAATGGCTATGTGATAGAAGAAATTCCCGGGAGTCACAGCACCCTATTAAGTGTTAGGTCAGCAGAAGAGATGAGCATGGGCATTCAACAGAATGAAAAAAAGAAAAGGATGAATACAGGTTAAAAGGACAATGCTGTTTTCTTCCACATGCTGAAATTAGGAAGTGAAAAGAGCAAAGCAAAGGCTGGTTAGAAGCAGCCAGTTAGAATTATTTAGAGCCCCAGTTCTCTAACAATTTTCTAAAGAAATAAAAAAAAAAAAAAAAAAACTTCTGAAAGGTTCTTAGAGGACACTTAACTATTCTCTTGGTCCATGAGCTAGGTCATAAAGGGAAGCTCTAATTGCTCTCACAGCTATTTGCATGAAGTATAAATTACTCAGTTAAAGGCAGGCCCTTCTAATTACAGAGAACTGGGGAGAAAGTACCACATGACTACTGTCACCTTATCCTACGCACCACCACGCCCCACAAACTTCTGAAGCAGTCTCAAGCTAAAGACCCAAGTAACTAACCAACTCATTACCTTTGTACTAGCCCAGTGTCCCTCCCGGCTTGCTGCTCCTGTTACCAGGATCCCTTCAAATACCTGCATTAAATGAGGGCTTTTTGGATCTTGCTTATCTTAAGTATGCTAAACAAGTGTTGACAATATTCTTTGGTGACTTAAGAAACCGATGGGTTTTCAAGGTTTTTAAGTATACCTGATAATGTTTACTTTCTCAACTTTACATGTGCTTCATCTTCATACAGCATAAGTACTGAACATAAACTGCAAAATAAGGATTTGATCCAGAAATTTAGATGCTCTGCACACTGCCATTTACTCCATTAATTGTAAAAAACATTTAGAGCTAGATTCAAGTCCAAATTCTACTACTTACTGGTGGCATGGCCACAGGCAAGTAACTGGGCTTTGGTCTTAGTTTGATTGTATTTATAAATTAGGCAAAGTACCTATCATCCCCTATAGGTTATAAATCCCATAAAAACTAGCAACTCACTGAGAAAGCACCATGGAAACCATCTTTTAAAGAATTCAATAAAATTATTCTTTATATACACTCTGGTTACCCTGGAATCAAAGAAGCACAAGCAGGATTCAAGAGACAAAATTTAATATATGCACACAGTTTTTATATATAATGCAGCATCACACCATGTAGGGCATTTATCTTATTTTATACATTCAGATATGTTTGAAACACTTCTTAAGGCTACAAAACAGAACATAGAAAAATAAACAGGAATATATTCAACACTTACAAAAAGTGATATGATAAAGAATATAAAGTACTATGTTCCTTTCAACACTTCAAAAGATATGTATATATATACTTTTTTTTACAAGTAACATCACAAGTGATCACATCTTCACATGCTTTTAAGTATTATTTTTACTCAGTGTAAGGCTATTATCATTTTCCATACATAAATTTTTTTCTAGCTCTGTAACAAATGCAATTTTTAATCCATTCAAGTAAATTCAACCCCAAAGTTGCTGCTGCTCAGCATTAAGACATGCACCCACCCCTTATGATTTTCTAAAACTTGTATTTCAGGGGGGAAATTTTTTCTTAAAAAAAATTAGTGGGAGAGTAAATAGCTGACACTAGTAGCAAAACCTCAGATCTTTGAAACTGACATACTGGAAGTGAGCCACTGAGATTCTGAACGAAAATAATAGCATTTAGACATAAAATAGGGAGCAAACTATAGTAAACAGAACCAGTGTAGCCAAATACACATTCTCTTCGGCTACACTAGAATGGACCTTGCTGAAGTACCCATAAGTGAAAAGACAGTTTATCTCATCTAAAACAAAGTAAAACAAGTGAGGCAAAAATAAATATTGCTAATTTCTAAGATGGCTGAACATTTCCTAAACCACAAATGGTTAGAAAGGAATTTTATTGCACCAAGTCAATCATAAGCAAGTTTGCAGTTCACAGGCATTTAATCTACCCTTGAGTCAAAAAGGAAACACCACACTGCAAGAACATAGGGTCTGCATCAAATAAGCTGCATCAGCACTGCAGTTTGGGAAAACCTACTCATTGCCAGTTCAAGGCAGGGTCTGAGCTTCGGTCTGCATGAAAATAAACTCGTGGGTTACCAGGAACAGCATGGGGAATGCACAGATACCAGCATCTTGCTGCCAATAAACACCTGGGGCAAGAGTTAAAGGTATGTCTGAAGGGAAATGAACTTGAAAAGACACACAGTACTAAAAAAGGGGGCTAGAATCAAGTTCAGCAAAAGCACCTAACTAAAAACGAACAGGTGAGCTTTGGTCAGTTTAAATACTTGTTCTTCAAAAATGTGTATGTATGATCATAATACAATAAAGTTTTGGTTTCCAAATCAATACAAATGATTCTCAGTTCTATACTTTTGCAGCTTTTCTCTTACACAGAGTATTTTATCTCATGTCAATAGACAATATGACATAGTTAAAATTAAGGAGGACAAAAGCTTGCTTGGCCCAATTTGACCTCAGCATAAGGCAAAATCCCCTGGACTAGTACATTTAAAAACAAACCTAAAAGAAGAAAACAAAACTGACGTTCATGCAAGAATTAATATTTAAAAAACTATCAAAAGTCAGAATTCTGTTATTCCAGAGGTCACTGAGGAAAGTACCATCTGCTCAAATTCTTTCAGCACTGTTTCCATCATGTCCTAGAGGTGAGATACAGGAAACAGGAAGCAAATCAGTGTTTCCTTCAGGAGCTATAGAGTACTGTTACTCGATTGAGGTAAGACAGCACGGCCGTGAAGAAATCAACTAAGCATTCTTTCCTATCCAATGTTTTAACATTTCCAGAAACTGAGCTCAAACCCCAGTCAATAAAATGAAGCACACTGGAAACAGCCACTTCTTTTGGACTCCTGAGATCAACCATTCAACTTTTAAATTGGTATTCATATCAAAATGTGATTTTCACAAAAATGATCAGATAAACACTACTACACTAAAAAAAAGCATGAGCTGAAAGCGGAGGACCCTCTAACCTTCTCATTGCATAATTTAGCCACTGGCTTAAGCAGTACCTTCACAAATGGTTCTAGCTTAGAAGGTGATGATAAAAATTCCTTTCAACAGATTCTCCCAAGAATTTTTTTCTTTGCCACACAACCATTTCAGTCTACAAAATTTTACCTAGCACCATCATAATAAAATGTTATCTTTCAAAGTGCTCTCTAAAATCCTATGTTACAAAATATCTAAATGCTAATCACTACTCAAATCAGCAGTTACACAGACATTAGGTAATTAAAACAGCACAGAGGTAAATAACCATTATTACAGTACAGTGGAGATTCACTGAGCCAAGCTGGCATCCAAACATTCCTATAGGTTAACAGAGAACCCAGAAAACTCGTCTGTTTCAGTTTGTCAAATTCAAGTGAATTGTATTTGCTTTTAAAGTAATATGCTTCAAAAAAAAACAAGAAAGCCACGACATCTAGTTTTGGCTAGGTATAATTACACATGGCATGCAAGGAGAAATTACTACTATATTATTTGCATAGCACTCAAACTTCCTGATAAAAAGGTAATCAACATAAAAAAGCAGGTAGATTTTCACATTGGTATGTACAAAAAGAAATATAAGCTAGTTATTTTACAAAGTAACACAGATGAATGAATACTGTGCAGACAGTCCAATGTCCAAAGGAGAAGAGAGTGCAACATGCCAAGGAAACCTCTAGTGAATACTGCAAGGACTGGAAGGAACAAGATCCAAGACTTGCAACCTCAGGGTAACAAACTATCCAATGCAAAGCAAAACCACTTTCTAGCAGCGTCCTCTAGAAACGACCTGGAAGTCACAATCATCTCATTTTGTACAATGATTCCAGCCATGACAAGCTGAACATGCAAATGTAAGGTGAGACACATAACCAACAAATGGTGCAAGGAGAAAACAAAACACAGGAACTCTATAGAAACCTGTCAAGCTAAAAATTTTTAACATTTCTTCTCACAAAATATTTAGAATCTGTCAGTGCATTAGTGTTAAAGTGGCATTAAAAAACTTCTGCAGTTTTAACAGATGCAGATTATTTTCAGAATGCATAGCATCTACGTATCTTTCGAGTAGGCACCATGATATTTACACCAGTGCTAAGAATTCTTGGTGGAAACAGCCATTTCAGTGGATTTCCTACTATTTCCTAAACATCTATTCTTGTATGCACTCTCAAATTCAACAAATACTCACCAAAATTCAAAAATATACCCTATGAATATTAAAAGAACTATATACAACATTTCTAAGACACAGGTAATAGGCTGCCTTATGTGAAATATTAAAGAGAAGACATTATTCAAGTTTGACAGATATTGAGATGAAAGGCCTTTGGGTTGGAAGCATTTTAAAAGACAACAGTGTTTTAGGCTGAGAACTGTTTGAGCCCAGTTTACGACTAAGGCATTGCATAATAAAATAAACATTTCTATTTGGTGCAATGTTATATTTTGGAATCTATAGTGTGTCAAATGGTATATTTTCTTGTCACTTTAGTAAACACTATAAAGCACACATTTCCAACATTTAAAATCAAACTTATACAAGGAAAATAAAACAAACACTAAATCTATAATGTTTTATATTAAGTTGTTTATAAAAAATACTTTAACAAACTTATTTCCTAATTGTTAGGGGAGAAGTCACCTGATAAATCAAACTGTGAGTGAAGTGGCAATGCCAGAAATCCACCTGCCCCCTTGAAGTCCTGTCCAGATTCTCTCGTCCAGAGTGGGAGCGAGGCTAAATGTGGAGGGGAGGAGACAGTTCCAATTTGGGTTTTTATTTTAATGTATTTTTTAAAGCCTTCAGAAACATTCCACCTACGAAAGGGTTTCTGCTCTAAAAGACTCCAGCAACAACCATCAAGTGTGTTGTCCCCTGTGGCCATCTCCCATCCCTGATCTCCTCCTGTCGCCCCTATAGGGCCGTCCTCTGACATTGCGATGGTACTGATAACCTTCATCCCGGCCTCTGCTTGGCTGCCCCTTCCAGGGCTCCTCAGCTCTCAGGTGTTGATAGCCACCCCTACCAGAATAGCCCCAATCACTTTTGTATTTCCTGCCTCCATAAGTTTGATTATAGAACTGCTTGGATCTACCACTTCTCAAAATATTAGATACTTCATTTTCATCTTCTGAACTCTCTTCTTTTGGTCTTTGCACTCTGCTATCCACAGAGTTGGCCCCAGGGCTGACCACATCAGCAGCAGTCTTAGGATCTTTTACTTTTTCTGGTTTTTCTTTCAGACTCTGAATGGTCCTTTTAGGCTCAGGTTCAACTGGCACAGTTTCCCTCTCTCTGTTTAGAATCTGAGTGGGAAGATGAGCCTTTCCCTCTCCTCCGGGAGGGACGGAGGCCAGTGCCAGATCTGCTTTCCGTGTCTGGGATGACTGCTCTGCCCGGCCTTCATGCTTACTGCTCACACTTGCTTCAGGGAGAGAATGTGCACCTTCACCCCTGGCTTTGGGAAACTCCTCTACAGCTGAAACGGAAGCACATTCTTTAGACAGATCCAGATTTTCCAGCGGTAGATCCAATTCTCCTTTCTCGTCAGAGGGCAGCACAATATTCTGCCTCATTACTGGGTTTTCTATGAATCCCTGAAAAGGGTACCCATACCAAACATGAGGGAAGAAAGGAGGTGCAATGGGAACTGGGCCCAAGAATGGATTAGGTCCAAAGGACGGTTGTGGGAACATATTCTTGCCACTTAGTGATTCGTCATATTCAGCATGAAGAAGCTGCCCAGGGTTCTCAGATTCAAGATCAGCTTGGTAAGACAACTGTCCATGACTTTCAGACACCTGAGATGGAGGGATAACCAGAGGTGAAGAAAACGTTGGCGGTCCAATCTCTGCCTGTGGTATTTGGCCATTAACACTGGCCTCAGTCTGCATAGGAAAGTGTGTGTCGGTGCAGGTACAATCACTTTCATTCTGAGCAGAAGGGGCTTCTTGGAACCAAGGATTATGAGGATAGACAGGGACAGGGACCTTTGGGTACATCCTGCAGGCTGCCAGGTAGGCCTGGTGCAGAGGGTACAGGTAAGAATGTGGGGCCCACATCGGACAACTATATGCCTGAAAGAGAAACAAAACAGTAAGGTGAAGAAAAAGGGAAAATGAGAAAGGTCTGGATATAAACCCACTTCAGAGCCCTGGTCTCAAGATGAGTTCCTCATGACTATAAAACCCATGTAACCCACAGCCCATATATTAGATCACTGGGATACCCAACATGACAAAGAATTAGAAAACTAAAGCACTGCTTTAAAGACACCATTGCTTGTTCCTCACGTTCTGGAGATAGTATCTCAAACACTGGTTATTTAGCTAGAATTGCATTCACATTCTGGTTCTACCACAAACACTGTGACCACGACAGCCAGTTAACCTGTCTGGACCTGTTCTATTGTTAAAATGCTAGTACAGACCTAGACATCTCCAACAATAGGACTCCACAATTCTAGGATTAAGTTGGATCTTTAACCAAGGAAAGATAATGCTGACAATTAAGGATTCCAAACTCTCCCTCTGCAAGGATTCCATTAAAAACTAAAATCGAGGGGCCAGCTCTGTGGCACAACAGGTAAAGCCACTGCCTGCAGCACCAGCATCCAATATGGGCACTAGTTCAAGTTCTGGATCCTCCAATTCCAATTTAGCTACCTGGTAATGTGCCTAGGAGAGCAGCAGAGGATAGCTGAACTACTTGGAGCCCTGCACCCAAATGGGAGTCCTGTAAGAAGCTCCTGGCTCCTGGCTTTGGTTTGGCCTGGGCTTGGCTGTTGTGGCCATTTGGGGAGTGAACCAGCAGATGAAAGATCTCTCTTTCTGCCTCTGACTCTCTGTAACTCTGCCTTTCAGATAAGTCAGTCTTTAAAAAATAAACTAAAATCCAAAGAAAATGTAACCAGCTACTTAGATAAAAGTAAAATTAGGCAACGATTGCCACAGATGATGAAATTAATCAAGTCTTCATGAAACTGTTCAGCCGAACACCTCATTTCATATTACAACTGTCTGGAACCCAAGGAAACTAACGCAGAACAGGAGACAACCAGCACTGAGTGACAAGGACAGAATTCTCCAGCTTCTCTTTCTAAGGAATGTTATTTCTAGGTTGACCACTTCCTAAAGGGCCTCCTTGCTGGGCTAGTGAACCACACAATCTAATACAGGAATACTTTCTCATAACATTTCTCTTGATGCTTTCAACAAACTGAAGCAAACAGAAGAGTATTACCCCCATTGCATAAATGAAGCTACGGTGAAAAAACACAAACTGGCATATCCAGAACGAGACATCTAGAAAAATGTCACAGCCGAATTTTTGTCTATCAATCCAGGCCCTCTTAAGGGAATTTCCATTAGGCTACACAGGGATATGTTCATCGCCTGAGAACACTCACAAGGTTGTCTACCATCAATTAAAAAGAAAAGCAAGCAAAAACCAGCATCTTTACACCCAACCAGAAGCAAATTTTAAACCATACAGTACTAAAAAAAAAAAACTGGTTCTTAAAATTACAAGATTTAGTAAACCTTAAGTTACTGACATAGTTAACAGTACTTAAATTTATTTTAAAATACTTTTCAAATGATAAAATGTAAATACCTTCACTCCAAGATTGAAGAAGAAACGAAGAATATTCTTATCTGAAAATAAAATAATCACTCACTAAATTACATATTCACAAAGCTTGAACTTGTTCATCATCTTTAATCAATAGTTTTAACATTTCACCTACCAGAATTACTTCCTCTAACCTATTATGAAACATAGATAAAACCTAATAATCCAAAAACTAACTGTTAGTAATTCCAGGTTCAGTAGGTTTTTTTGATATTAATATCCAACTCCCAAAACAAATTTTGATTTTTATCTGATTAAAGCAATCTGAATAAAGCAAATTCAGGTGCTCACTGTATCTTTTTCAACTCTTCTTTGGAGCTTAAAAAATTATGAAAATGCAAGAATAATTAAATGCAAACCTTACTTATAAAAAACATTTGTAGGACATTAACAGTTAAGGTATTCACTTGCCATTAGGTAGTCACCATTTGATTCAAACCACCCATTAATGGATTTATCCACATAAATCCAGGTAAACAACATATAGGTAGTCATTACAATACTCTTTGAAGCTTTATAGAAATGAAGCAGGCAAAAGAGAGAGCAAGTGAATTTTAAAAGAATTGTTTAAACAAATAATAAATCATTGCAGATAGCATTTAATAATAGCTATGTATTATACCCAATCTTCATAATACAGGTAATACAGGTAGTTCAAAAAATCAAATCAGTACGTCAAAAAAGCAAAACAAAACTGAGAAAGTTCAACCATGTTTAGGAATCTAGTTGTGAAATTATAAGATCCTAATCCGAAACGGTTTCAAAGCTGTTTATGAAAAAATGACATGGGAGGGGAGCCACCACCAAGCATATAAAAATCATTTTCCAATAAAACCAAGATGAAATAGGAGTGGATGGCCATTAGCCTGCTGCCCTCCCCGAGTAATTTCCTTCTTTGGTCTTACCAGACCTTTGGTGGCTACTTCCATCTCGTCATTTCTCCCTAAACCTGTTGGTACTTGATAAATACAATCAATCAATTTGAACTTGGATAAGGAACTAACCTTTAGGCAAGTCCTCTCCAGTGTGACACAGTGAATAAGGTGGTGCAATGGCTCGATCTCCCTTTTCATTGTAAGGAAACCCAGGATACAGTGGGTCCTGGTAAAGGCTCAATGTCTGAGGCAAAGGCATCAAGGGCTGGTTAACTGCCTGTATTGACACAGGAACTGGAGAAGGTGTTAAATGAGCTTGGGATACAGCAGAATCAGGTCCAGTGGTCAGAGTCTGTGTCACCGATAAAACAGGAATTGGAGCAGGGACACCTACAAGGAGAAAGGAATCGAAAGCTACAAAAACATGAAAATAATAATTCTCCAGAAATGTGCTGACACTGAGTTACAAAAGAAAGGATGCTATACAACTGACACAGCTGGTAAAAGAGTGTGCCTATGTAGTTCAGCAATCTAAACAAGCCCTCTATGTAACAATCAGCCTCCTGAACACAGAGGAGGAAATGATCCCAGGAAACAAGCTTTGAGTCAGTATCTTCTAATTGAAGATCTTAAAAGTTTAAGTGTAAGACACGGGGTCTGGCCAGGGTTTGAACAAGGGCTCATAATGAACAGAATCCTGGGGAAAACATCAAATTGTGGCATCAGTTACTCCTGAGTGACCAAAGCACTCACTGGAGCTAACCAGCTCAAAACATCATGCCCCTAATTATGAGAACATTTCTCAAGGAAGACCTCCCAAACGTACCTGGCCCTCCCATGCTGGAAGCAGAGAAGCAGAGGCTCACAGAAAACTCTGCAAGCTCCAAGCATCTAACCCTACTCTGAGGTAAGCTTTCACTCAATAATCTGCACTCTCAGACTGTTATTGGTTGGTTAACTGGTTGGATTTTCTAAATCTTTCTCTAACCTGTTGGTCCAAAAGTTGTAGGTTCACTTGGCCAGGCTGGCACAGTGGCTGGTAAAGAAGGCACCGCAGGAGTTAGATGGACCTCTGGAGACACTAGAAGGGGAGCTGGATTTGACAGAGACACATGTTCTGCTGGCTTCTTCAAGAACAGAAGAGAGAAAACAAGAATCATTTTGCACAGATTTTAATCAACTCTGAGTTGCCTCCTTATACAAATAAAGATGGTCCTTCTGGTCTTACAAATAAAAACAAAAAAAAAATCTAAAAAAAACCATATAAACAGATTTACTCCTAACCAAGAGCTGCCCTTCAAAAGTCACAGAAGTCACTAGCAGAGCTAGCAAAAAGACAAAGTGCTTTTAAGGCAAGTGAGCAAAATCAATGAGACCATCTTGAAATTTCTGAGTTATTTTAAAAAGTTCTTCATACAAAGACACACCTTGTAACTATTATACAAGGATACTTCCACATTTGTGGAAACTGCAGTTAAAAATGGCTTTGGTGCAAAAAAAATTTGTAAACCCATGCTTTTTCATAATATGCATTTCCATAAACTTTCTGAAATACTTTATTTTCCTATTAAAATGAACAATATTCATTGAAAAGCATTTGTCATTTTCTACCCCTGTATAGACCAAGAACTAAAATTTCTGCTGAACTCAGGTTTCTTCATCATTAAATTTTATAAACTGGTGGTACTGTCTTCTACCTGGATATGAAATAATTGTTAAAGACATAGTCAACTCTTTGCAATGACTCCTTCAAAAACTTAATTTTCAAGCCAACTTACCACAAAGTACAAAGTATAAAGCTAATAAATACAAACTCATGCAAAATCAATCCACAAGAATGGCCAGGAAATGATGATTAGAAAACAACTTCTCAAAAACACTGAGAATGTTCTGGACTAACACCAATATCAGAATTACATGTAAATCATAACTGCTTCTAAACTGTAATGCTAGAATAATCTCCAATTCCCTATATAGATGGTTAGGTGTTTTGTTTTATAATGACCACATACAAAGGAAAAAACTCCAGAAGATAGTACATTCAATGGTCAATTGCAACAATCCACTTACTTGTTCTGCAGGAGATGGGCACTCTAATTTCTTTGACTTCAATGGTGATGAAACTCTTGCACATCTATCATCACTAATATTCTTTAGAAGCAAAAAGAACCAACAGAGCTTTATTTTTCTTTCCAAAAAATCACATTCTGGGTTAACTGTGGTTTCCTTTACAACTCACCCTACCTGCACCTGACAGAATTCTCTCATAAGAATTTTTTCCAACGTGTCTATCTTCCATAGGTAGATTGACTTTGTCAGCGTAATTTTATCATAGCAAATCACTAGGCAGTTTTTTATTAAAGGCATAATTTCAAGCAGCACTATCTTCTTTAAAAATAGCAATCTATAATATTATACTGCATGACAGAGAGTAAAAGGTGTTTTCTAACAACTCAAATTGGGCATCCTAATAATGTACCACACAGAAATGGTCATGAGGCAGATATATGGCTCTGGGGTTAAGCCACCACTTGGGATTCCAACATCCCATATTAGAGTGCCTAGGTTATAGTCCCAGCTCAGCTCCTGATTCTAGCTTCCTGCTCATGTGTACCATGGGAGGCAGTAGATGATAGCTCAAGTATATGGGTCCCTCACCCATGTGGGAGTCCTATATGGAGTTCTGGGCACCTGGCTCAGTCCCAACTATTACTGGGGGAATTAATCAGCAGACTGGAGACTTTTTTCTTTTTATGTAGCACCTTTCGAATAAAATGAAAATAAGCAACTTAAAAAAAAAATCAGTTTGTGGGGCCAGTGCTGCGGCATAGCAAGTAAAGCCGCCGCCTGCAGTTCTGGCATCCCATATGGGTGCTGGTTCAAGTGTTGGCTGCCCACTTCCAATCCAGCTCTCTGCTATGGCCTGGAAAAGTAGTAGAAGATGGCCCAAGTGCTTGGGCCACTACACCCACACGGGAGACCCAGAAGAGACTCCTGGCTCCTGATCAGCCCAGCTCTGGCTGCTGGCAGCCATTTGGGGAGTAAACCACCGGTTCTAAGATCTCTCCTTCCCTCTCTCTCTCTCTCTCTCTGCCTCTGCAACTCTGCAACTCTTTCAAATAAACAAATCTCTCTTTAAAAAAAAAAAAAAAAAAAAAAAAAAAAAAGTTTGTGAGTGACCTTTCAAGCTCTATCACCTCTGTCCTATTTTTCTACTTCCCTAATACATAGTTACAAAACGGTGAGATCATTTCCATCTGCTCCTTCCACTTCTTCCCATTACATCATCAGTAGCAGGGGAAAAGATCAGTACTTAAAATTTTTACCTCTAATGTACTTGGTTCAGGTTTTTTATCCAAGTGAGTAGATCCATGGACAGAGTCTATAACAGACCACACACACAAAAAAAGCATCACCTCCAGTTTTGAGCACAGAACAAAGAACAAAATTCAAAGATGAAGCCAAAGCACAATTTGAACCCATGTTTAGTCAATGAAAAAGTTTTTAGAGTAACGCTTAACATGCTTTAGGCTGATTCATTGCTTATCTGTGATGGTCCAATATGTGACACTGGATATACTGCTTAACAATTTTAAGTGTTCTCTCTCCAATACAGTAGTATCCCTATTCATGGGGAAAACAGGCTAAGACACCAGGTAATATCAAACCCTGTATATGTGCACTATGCTTTCCCTATACATACAAGCATTCCTAGGATAAAGCTTAATTTACACATTGAAGCACAGTAAAAGATTAGTAATAGCTAAGATTAATAATTAATAACCATATTGTAGTAACAGTTATATGAAAGTGGTTCTCTCTCTCAAAATATCTTACTTGGACCTTTTCATTTAAAAGGAGATCCTGATGGCTTTTCTTTGTCATATCTGAACCACCAGCATAATTCCTCTTGTGCTTTGGTGCAATTACCAAGTAAACACAAGTACTACAATACTGAGACAGTGATTAACAGGCAAGCAGCATATACAACAGATACGCTGGACCCAGAAATGATTCACACCCTGGGTGGGACAAGGTACCATGAAATTTCATCACACTTCACTATGCAGAATGGGACACATTTTTTAACTTACGAATTGTTTATCTCTGAAATTTTCCATTTAATATTTTTGACAACAGTTGACTGCAGGTAACTGAAACTGTAGATGAGGGAGGGTGTTCTTGGATAAGATTTCATACCAGACAGATCCCTAACACCTGCTTTCAAATTATAATTATAATACCTTTGTCCTTCCGTTCTTCTGTGTCCATTCTCCGTCTGTTTCCTTTTCTATCACTTCCGTGGGATGATTTTCTCTGGACACATGGGTTGCTACTTTGAGAAGCTGATGTACTGACTGATGACATCTTACAATGAAAAAAACCCAACACTTTGTGTTAAAGATCTATCCACAAATAGATGAGCAAAAGTCCTTTAAATAATCTTACTCTTTATACTTCTAACTAAAAATCATAAAACCCATAGCCGTATATTTTCATACTTCTTATACTACAAAACAGGATATTCTAGTGTCCAAATTTAATTATATATAATCTACATTAAAAGTCTAATTACCAACTCCCAAGTATTAGGGGGTCACACCTTTATCCTAAATTAGTCAGATATTTTCACATCCCCATTTCAGAAAGCCACATTGACTAAGCGTTCATGTTACAACCTACACTCTTCACAAATCACAGCATTACCTGTACCAACCGTCTAAAGTCACTGCAGAGGTACATTTCTTTGTGGATAGGAATAAACATAAATGCCAATTAACAATTCTTTATCATAGAAAGTCCACTGCCTGTCAGGAAATCACCTAAGCTCTACATGAGATCCAACCTTCTAAACTGTGAAACAAAGGGACCATAGTAAGTCATGGTTTTAAGCTGAATTACAGCTGAAGGTTTCGGGTTTCAATTCTAGTACTCAAAGTAAATGTTTCACATAGCTAACCAGGAAAATGCTAGCCTTCTCTTTCAGGAATTTTTCCAGAAAATACACCTGAATCACTACCAAATTTAATACTAAATCCAAATCACTAAGTAAAAATTGTGACTATTGAGAACACACTTAACAATTTAAAAAACTTACTACCTGTCCCCACATTTTAATAATTGTACTTTTATCATCCACTAACTGAAAAAAAGGTTATAGTATAAGCATAAAGGATTGGTAGTTATTAAATTTTATGGAAAATTTACATACAGGATATGACATAAAGGTACTTTACACACAGACAACACCAATTCACATATGAATTTGGGTACCACTTCCAGTAATTCCTAAATACAATCCCCTGTGCCAGACTGAACTACAATTCCAGACCAGCTGCTTTCAACTAAATTATTCCTTAGGCCTCTAAGGAATCCCACAATCAAAACAAAGAGAATTGAGCATGGGAGGGTTTAATGTCTTATAGTGGGTAGCCTCCTATTTTGTTTGTTAATCTACTGTTACCATTCAGGACCATAAGTCAATTGGGTACCACTTACCAAGACTTTAAAGACCAAAGGCACAGGGTTCTCAGCACCAACAATGAACTAGTTATCTCTTTTAGTAGCTGTCTACAAACCCTCCTCACAGAATACACACACTCCATTTTACATAAGAATAGTTTCCCTTCTCACTCCCCTGGAGGTAGAGACCACTCCTTTCTGTCATATACAAGACAGCAAAGACAAAGAAACAGGGTTACACATGCTACCACCTCTAACAGTAATCAGTCTGAAAGACTCTCCCTGTATGTATGAGGCACTAGGTAGGTGTAATAAACAGTAAAAAGTCTTCTGATTTTATAGATATATCTTATAAAGTATAAGTGAATGATGAACCTCTATGCACATGACTTTTGCTGGCAAGTTAAACATTTTAGTTCAAAAGATAGCACTAAACTGCAAGTGAGAAAACCGATAAACTTGCTTCAAATGTCATAAACATTTTAGCATTAAAGCTACACTTCACATTCCACATGTAAAATGTAAAACCCAGGGAAAGCTACATTATCTCTAAGGTATCCTTCAGTTCCAAAATTAGCTCACCATTACACACTATGGTTTAACATAGAAACTGTAACAAAGGAGACTTCTAAACAACAACTTTTTAAAAATCTCTTATACATACGGAAAGGGCTGGGAAAGCCTGTTCATCTCTGTTCTGAATCTCATAAAGTAAACGAGATTCTTCTATGGCTTGCTTCTCTCTGCGTTCTTCAGGGGAGAGGCCAAAATAGTGAGATTCTCTATTCGTGTGATCAAAATCCTCAGCTCTCTCACGATCAGGTTTTCTGTCAAATAAAACATTTTTGTCAGAAAAAAAAATGCTGAGGACTAAAATGATGTTCTACAATATAAACATTTGGATAATTCAACCACACTAAGACATTTTAAAACTTCTCGCAGCAGAGTTAATAAATGTTTAGCAAATGGAAACTCCTGTAGCATTATGTTACCTTACAGAATCAAGAAGACAAACTTTAATAGGAAAGTGGGGTCGGGAATGAAGGCACTAACAATTCTATTCCTACCACATCTAGCAGTTCTACAATATTAGGAAATGAAAATCCAAAACCTGTAAGAAAAACATGTTGTCACAGGACAAACAGAAACAATCTTCCTCAAAAGAGGAGGGACACTGTGACACCACCTGATTCTCTTACCTCTGGAATAAAGACTAGCGATGCAATGTCCTTGAGTGACCTTATTTATACTCAATTCTAATGTCAAAAGAGCAGATATCAAACCCAATGGCAGTGAGGGATAACTGACAGAGAATATCTGGATGTACGTAATCTTAGGCCAGTAGTAATACCTAGTAGTAAAAGACTCCAAAGAACACTCATCAAGCGTCAAGAGTTTTCTGGAAAATCACCACCACCTTACTGTCTCTTACCATCCAAAACAAGGATTGGTACTGTGTAGTTTTCATCTTCTCCTCACCTAGCACACAGCACCAGCTTCCATTCTCACTTAGCTTGAACATTTCACCTAGCTTGAACAGAAATGTTCAGTAATATTCTTGCATAGCCATACTAATAAAAGCATATGGCAATCCAGTATTTTGCTTTCTCCAAAGAAAGAGACATTATCAGTGAGGAAAAAATGAAAAAGATATAAGGATCTCATAACCATCTTTACAGTTTTCTGTTATTCTATTATCAGAAGACTTCAAACCAGAGATGTTAAACATTAGAAGCAAAGATGAATTCTAATGGTCTTAAATAAATTAGGATTGTTAAAAATAAAATTCTAAATGTTAAGTAGAATTAAAATCTAACTATAAGTATTCAATAATCACAGCTTGTAAATTTTTTTAAAAGATTTATTTTATTTATTAGAAAGACAGTTACAGAGAGAGGTAGTGAGAGAAGAGAGAGGTCTTCCATCTGCTGGTTCACTCCCCAGATGACCGCAATGGCCAGTGCTGCACTGATCTAAAGCCAGGAGCCAGGAGCTTCTTCCAGGTCTCACAAGTGGGTGCAGGGGCCCAAGGACTTGGGCCATCTTCTACTACTATCCCAGGCCATAGCAGAGAACTGGATTGGAAGAGGAGCCGGGACTAGTGTCGCTCCCCCTCTTCGTGGAGGAGCAACACAGGACCCTGCGCTGTTCTTTCGTCTGCTCGGCCCTCCCCGGGTTTGCTGCTGGTTCTTCCCGGGTTGGCTACCGTCCCTTCCACCTCCGTGGAAGGGCAGTTCCCCCTGGCCACATTCCCCACTTCCGCAGGGGAGCGGCACACCGCCGGCCGGCTCTCTCGGGGGCTGCACAGGTGTTCCTTCAGCTAGATGTTCCCCTTAGATGTTCCTCTTAGATGTTCCTCTTAGATGTTCCTGATGCATGCCGTCTCTCTCCTTTATAGTCCTCCTCCGCCAATCCCAACTCGGCTGCCCACACGCCGAGTACGCTGCTCTCCTCCAATCAGGAGCAAGTCCTACAGTTTATTGGCTGAACTGGAGGCAGCTGTGCAGAAGCTGTTTTCTTCTCTCCCAGCGCCATATTGTGGGAGAGCAGATGCATAGAATAAGTCTTAATTCCAGTAACAGTATAGTCCGAGTTGCTCCCCACAACTAGAACCACACTCATATGGGATGCTGGTACCACAGCACCGGCCCCATAAATTTATTTTGATATATTAGTATGGGGCTGGAGCTGTGGCATAGCAGGTAAAGCCACCACCTGCAGTGCCAGTATCCCATATGGGCTCCAGTTCAAGTCTCAGCTGCTCCACTTCTGATCCAGCTCTCAGCTATGGCCTGGGGAAGCAGTACAAGATGGCCCAAGTGCTTGGGGCCCTGGACCCGTTTGGGAGACCCAGAAGAAGCTCCTGGCTCCTGGTTTCAGATTGGCGCAGCTCCAGCCATTGCAGCCAATTGGAGAGTGAACGAGAGGATGGAAGACTTCCCCATCTTCCCCCCTCACCTCTCCTTCTCTCTTTGTGTAACTCTTTTACTTTTTTTTTCTTTTTTTTTTTTTTGACAGGCAGAGTGGACAGTGAGAGAGAGAGGCAGAGAGAAAGGTCTTCCTTTTGCCATTGGTTCACCCTCCAATGGCCGCGTGGCCAGCGCGCTGTGGCTGGCGCACCGCGCTGATCCGATGGCAGGAGCCAGGTAGTTATCCTGTCTCCCATGGGGTGCAGGGCCCAAGTACCTGGGCCATCCTCCACTGCACTCCCTGGCCACAGCAGAGAGCTTGCCTGGAAGAGGGGCAACCGGGACAGAATCCGGCGCCCCAACCAGGACTAGAACCCGGTGTGCTGGCGCTGCAAGGTGGAGGATTAGCTTAGTGAGCTGCAGCACCAGCTTGCCTTTCAAATAAATAAATCTTAAAAAAAAAAAAAAAAAAAAAAAGGTTTAAAGAAAATATACTAGTAATATTTGCTTTCACACACAATGGAGAAGGCATTCTAACTGCTAATACCATATGATTGCTATGGAATCCATTATAATGTCAAAATTTTCTAAAAGTCTCATATCTATGTGTTACCCATCTTGTCACATACCGAAAGTGTTTGTATACAGCAAGTAATACACAGCTAACACATAAAAAAGAAAAACAGGGACAGGCACTGTGACGCAGTGGGTTAACGCCCTGGCCTGAAGCGCCGGCATCCCATATGGGCACTGCTCCACTTCCGATCCAGCTCTCTGCTATGGCCTGTGAAAGCAGAAGATGGCCCAAGTCCTTGGGCCCCTGCACCCGCGTGGGAAGACCTGGAAGAAGCTCCTGGCTTTGGATCGGTGTAGCTCTGGCCGTTGTGCTCATCTGGGGAGTGAACCAGCGGATGGAAGACCTCTCTTTCTGTCTCTACCTCTCTAACTCTTTCAAATAAATAAAATAAATCTTCAAAAAAAAAAAAAAAAGAGAAAAAGATCCTAATAATACAAAGATACTTGTCTGCAGAATAGATTTAAAGTACTTTAAATTTGAAACATCAGTAGACAGAAGCATTCTACCAAAGCCTCAAAGACTGCAGTCAACACCAGAAACACTGGTTAAAAAATCAGTTTGTGGGCCAGCGCCGCGGCTCAACAGGCTAATCCTCTACCTACAGCGCCGGCACCCGGGATTCTAGTCCCGGTCGGGGCGCTGGATTCTGTCCCGGCTGCCCCTCATCCAGTCCAGCTCTCTGCTGTGGCCCGGGAGTGCAGTGGAGGATGGCCCAAGTGCTTGGGTCCTGCACCCGCATGGGAGACCAGGAGAAGCACCTGGCTCCTGGTTTCGGATCAGCACAGTGCGCCGGCCACAGCGGCCATTGAGGGGTGAACCAACGGAAAAGGAAGACCTTTCTCTCTGTCTCTCTCTTACTGTCCACTCTGCCTGTCAAAAAAATTTTAAAAAAAAATCAGTTTGTGATAAACACATGACTATTTAAATTAGCAATTTAAATAGCAAATTGGTATTTTTTTTTTCAATCTTCAAGACAGGGACAGGAAGTTAAAGATACTTCTTGGAACACTCATATTCCCTATTGGCTATGTGGCTTCCAATTCAGTTTCTTTCTAATGCACACCCTGGAAGTCAGTAGGTTATGGCTCCAGTACTTGGGTCCCTGTTACCCACAAGGGAAATTTAGATTTGAGTTCCTGGCTCCACAAAACGGCCTGGCCCAGCCCTGGCTATTAGGAGCATTAAGGGAATAAACCTGCAGACAAAATTTGTCTCTGTCATCTCTCTCCCCCCATCTTTCAAATAAAATGAAAAATAAATTCTAAAATTGTTTTTCTATTTAAAACAGTAAAAAGTATCCTTGTGATCAAGGGGAAAAAATCCTTTTCCAGTCTATCAAAAAACAAAAATTTTAATAAAGAAAAATCGTCTTGTTCCCTGTAAGCTTCCTCCACATCCTTTATAGTTTCAACGGTTAATATTCAAAATAAGTTTATCTGTTAAGTGCTGTGTCTGCACTGAGTAGGTTACATCAGCTGGTAGTGGAGTCTGGTCATCGTGCAAACAACAGACATTAGCCATAATTAGCTGACTAGTCGCACAGATTCTCTTTGGGAGATGTGATTTACCATGGGCCCCAAGTATCCACATAAAGCATTGCTGCATATTCCAAGAATACAAGCCTCTGATCACTGGTTACCCAATTATTCCTCAGGGTGTGTGTGAAATGAACACCCTGGAGGGATAAGGCATATCCTCCTCCCAGCTAATTTTTTATCATTTATCCTTACTGGAACTTCTGAACAATGTGTAAGCATCCATGCAAAGCCATAAAAGAGTCTATTGATAGTGAATACCTCAACAGAAGGAAACTAGGTTACTGGGAAAAACCAGATAGGAAACAGACTTTAAACAGAATAAACAGCCTTTAAATGTTATAAACTCATCTCATATCCCTTTAAAACATGCAATGCATTGAAGTATTAATATCAATAAATTGAATTTATCTTCTAAAAAAGATATGTTCAGGGGCTGCCACTGTGGCACAGCAAGTCAAGCTGCTGCCTGTAATGCCAGCATCCCATGAGAGCTGGTTCAAATCCTAGCTACTCCAGTTCTGATCCAGTTCCCTGCTGATGAGCCTGGCAAAGCAGTGGAGAAATGTCCCCAAGTTCCTGTACTTTTCCCAGACACTTGAGAAACCCAGTTGAAGTTCCATATTCCTGGCTTCACCCTGGTCCAGCCTTAGCCATTATTGCCATTGGGAAAGTGAACCAGTAGATGAATAGTCTCTGTCTCTGACTCTGCCTTTCAAATAAATAAATCTTTAAAAAAAAAAAAAAAAAGATATGTTCTGGTACATTCAAATACAAGGTCTTCCTGGACACTCGAAGTAAGATGAGGTCATACCAGACAGAGTATGAACAAAACCCATATGACTATTGTTCTTATGAGACCCAGACATAAATGCACACAGACAATACCAGGTGATGATGGAAACAATGAATTAAGTGATACACCTATAAGCTAAAGAATACCAAGGCCTGCACATAGCACCAAAAGTAGGAGAGGAATGGAAGATTCTCCCCTAAAGTCTTCAGAAATAGAACAGGCCTACCAACAACCTGATTTCACTGCAAGCCTCCAAACTGTCAGAGAATAAATATCAGTTGTTTCCAACTAACCAGTAAGTGAGGCTTTGTTACAACCACCCCCGGAAACTAAAACAATATTGGTAAGTTCTTGTCAGACCAAGAACTGAAATCTTTGTCTTAAAGATGCTATTCACGGCCGGCGCCGCGGCTCACTAGGCTAATCCTCCGCCTTGCGGCGCCGGCACACCGGGTTCTAGTCCCGGTCAGGGCACCGGATTCTGTCCCGGTTGCCCCTCTTCCAGGCCAGCTCTCTGCTGTGGCCAGGGAGTGCAGTGGAGGATGGCCCAGGTGCTTGGGCCCTGCACCCCATGGGAGACCAGGAAAAGCACCTGGCTCCTGGCTCCTGCCATCGGATCAGCGCGGTGCGCTGGCCGCAGCGCGCCGACCGCGGCGGCCATTGGAGGGTGAACCAACGGCAAGGGAAGACCTTTCTCTCTGTCTCTCTCTGTCACTGTCCACTCTGCCTGTCAAAAAAAATAAAAAATAAATAAAAAATAAATAAAAAAAAAGATGCTATTCACAACATCTTTAATGGCAAAATGTTAAGTGCATTTCCAGGGAATGCCCAAATATGGAAAATAATATAAACAAACATCAGAGCATGTCAAGCACGTACACTGATGATAGAGTTGTTATGGCAACTGAGGAGAGAAGCGCTTGGACAGAGAAGGTTCCAGCAGCCATTCCATGTTTGCATAAAGACAAGTCAACCTCAAATACAAGCTCTCAGCCAAAGTTGCTCCAGAGAGCTGTGACTACCTACTCAGCAAAATGGCAAATTAGGGAAAAATTAAAATTCACCCAGCACAGGAAAAACATGACCCTGAATTTCATCTGTCTACAGTTATTTAGTCAGAATGCTGATACTCATAATTACATAACCCTAAAATCTGTACCCCATAGTATTTAGAAAAATTACCATAAATAATCAAAACTCATCAGAACAAAGTAAACTAATAATTTCAGTTGGTTTGATTTTACAAATGACAGTATCTGGGACTGGCATTGAGGCACAGCAAGTCACACAGCAGCCAAGGCATCCCATATGGGAAGCTGGTTCAACTTCTGGCTGCTCTTTTTTTTTTTTTTTTTTTTGACAGAGTTAGACAATGAGAGAGAGAAACAGAGAGAAAGGTCTTCCTTCTGTTGGTTCACTCCCCAAATGGCCGCTACGGCCGGAGCTATGCCGATCTAAAGCCAGGAGGCTAGTCTCCCACGCGGTGCAGGCACCCAAGCACTTGGGCCATCCTCCACTGCCCTCCAGGGCCACAGCAGAGAGCTGGACTGGAAGAGGAGCAGCTGGTACTAGAACCCGGTGCCCATATGAGATGCCAGCGCCATAGGCGGAGGATTAGCCAACTGAGCCACAGTGCCGGCCCCTGCTCCACTTCTGATCCAGTTCCCTGTTAATGATGCACCTGGGAAAGCAGCCCAAGTTGCTGTGCCCCAGCACCCATGTGAGAGACTAGGATGAGGCTCCTGGCTTTGGCATGGCCCAGCCCTGGCTACTGTGGCCACTTGGGGAGTGAACCAGCAGATGGTCACCAGAAAATACTAAGTGCCAGAGTAAAATGTGGTTATAAGAGTATCTCCTGGGACTAGCACTGTGGCATAGAGGGTAAAGCCGCCGCTTGCAGTGCTAGCATCCCATGTGGGTGCTAGATTGAGTCCTGGCTGCTCCACTTCTAAGCTAACTCTCTGCTATGGCCTAGGAAAGCATTAGAAGATGGCCCCACTCCTTGGCCCCTGCACCCTCGTAGGAGACCCAGAAGAAGCTCCTGGCTTCAGATCAGCGCAGCTCCGACCATTGCGGCCAACTGGGGAGTGAACCAGCAGACGGGAAGACCTTTCTCTTTCTGCTTCTGCCTTTCTATAACTCTGCCTTTCAAATAAATAAACAAATTACTCACACAGCATTTCACCAGTGATATATTTAATAGTATGATATAGACAAGTACTTGAACAAAAAGTTTTAACTATTTAAATGCACAGAATGTGACCAATGTAACAATGGCCTCTCAGTTTCCACTTAGCTTGCTGAATTCAGGAAGTTACCTCATGATCTGTGAAGGTGTCCTGGCAAGATTTTTGTGTTCACTGGAGGATTTCTGAGACTGTGCCCCTGAAGAGAATGCATGTTGTCTTATTCCCAAAGGATGCTGGAGCCGAGGAGGTAGTACTGATGGGGCTTTTATTGGCTTGCTTGGATTCTTTGGCCCTCTGTAATCCATTTCTGTGACAAGAACCCAAAAATACCTCACAATTTTCCTATTACAAACAACTCCAAGCATCATCATCCCAATCTCACAGAAATGGTAACTTGATATACTCCTACCAGAATGAAAATTTTGTCCCGAAGTAGAAGGTTTTTTCATCTTCTTTCCTGACACTGTGCTCCAGCTTTCTGGGGGAGGTGGTTTGAGGGTCTTCACAGCATGTCTTCAGAGGAAAGTAACAGACTTGTAACAATGTAAAACACTCCTACTAAGAGTACTTACTATGCTGTATACATACTTCATTTTTAAATTATGTAACAATTCTCAGCTTTAGTTTTCGCACTGAAAACAAATTATGAGTTAAGCACAAACAGCATTTCTGTTTCCAGACACAATTCTAATCAAGTAAAATAACAAAAAGCAAAAGCAAAAGCATATTTTCTGGGGCTGGCATTGTGGCTTAGTGGGTTAAGCCTCTGCCTGTGGCAATAGCATCCCCCTATATGGGCACCAGTTCTAGACCCGGCTGCTCCTCTTCTGATCCAGTTCTCTGCTCGTGGCCTGGGAAAGCAGTAGAAGACAGCCCAGTTGCTTGGCCCCTGCACCCACATGAGACACCTAGATGAAGTTGCTGGCTCCTGGCTTCAGTTCAGCTCAGCTCAGCTCCGGCCGTTTGTGGCCATTTGGGAAGTGAACGAGTGCATGGAAGACCTTTCTCTGTCTCTCCCTCTGTCTACAACTCTACCTCTCAAATAAATAAAATCAGGGCCGGCGCCGCGGCTCACTAGGCTAATCCTCCGCCTTGCGGCGGCAGCACACCAGGTTCTAGTCCTGGTTGGGGCGCCAGATTCTGTCCCGGTTGCCCCTCTTCCAGGCCAGCTCTCTGCTGTGGCCCGGGAGTGCAGTGGAGGATGGCCCAAGTGCTTGGGCCCTGCACCCCATGGGAGACCAGGAGAAGCACCTGGCTCCGGCCATCAGATCAGTGCGGTGCGCCGGCCGTGGCGGCCATTGGAGGGTGAACCACCGGCAAAAGGAAGACCTTTCTCTCTGCCTCTCTCACTGTCCACTCTGCCTGTCAAAAAAAAAAAAAAAAAAAAAGATCTAAACAAAACATGTTATGACTGTTATTCTTCTACATCTAACAATTCTGTAGTTATGGTGCTGTTAGTTGTTAAAGCCAAGTGCTGAATACATTAGGTATGTTCGATATTTTTCAGTATTAAGGTCTTAAGTATGATTTATTACCTTTTTCTCTAATAAAAGCAGAAACAACTGAAACAAGAGGTAATCTAAAACAACACTGTGTAACAGCAACTCAGTAATACTTACTATTCTGACAAATGTTACCGAGTACTAACTGCATTGCCATGCAGCACTAAATCAAATCAGAAATGAAAACAGGTCCCTGTTTTCTGTAGTTCAACTTCACAATCCAGTCATGACACATTTTAAACAAATAGCCACGAAACACGTATTCTCAAAATCTGCTAAAATGCAAAATTTACAAAATCTGAACTGAAGCTACTTTTCTAAATATCTGAATGAACATGCTTCCTGCACATGGGGAATATCTTCCACTGAATTTGCAAACATACACAGAGCCATTTAGAAAGGATTCTCATGATTCCATTAGGCAGAAAAAACGGCAGGTAACTGCCTTAGCTGAAAAAGTAGTACATACTTTTTTCCCAATTCTTCAACCAAAACTGGTCCATTCTCAGAGTGAACTCCTTGAATATCTGCATTAGGAAATTTTCCATTGTGATCCAACCTAACCTGTTGAACAATTCCAGAAATAAAAATCAGTCATCTGCTTCCTGTGCATTAGTAATTACCTTTTAAATGTTAACGATCTTCAATTAAAGAGAAAATATATAGTTATTGATAAAAACAATCTAAGTTCAAAGGATGTACAATAAAATTTGTCTCCCTAACCTTCAGATAGTACCTAGAAAAAAAAAAAAGAAACAAGTTTCTTGTTTATCCTTTCAAAATTTCCCATTATTGTTTGTCTAAACAGTTTGAAATAGGAACAGAATCTATTAAGGCCCCAAGCAAGAGATGAAAGAGAACCAGCATGTCCTGTTTTCGGAACCACACACCTCAAGCAGGCCATGCTTTCCCACTTACCAGCAGTATGACCATGGACAATTTTTTTTTACCATGTTTCACTTTGCTCACATGCAAATTGGAGCTAGTAACTGTAGATAAGGAAATGGAAGGTACATATGGTACATATAAAGGATGCCTACGTTCACACAGCAACCACCCTATCAATGGGAACAACTATAAATTGCTATTATGTTCCTATTATTCTGATTTAAAATGTATAACTGTGATCAATTTTCTCCTGAAAAATGGACCAACTGTAACATACAATTGGTTTTACCCAATTTTAAACAGTGACAAGAATAAACCTTAAGGCTTCTTCCTACTGTCAGGCTATATACACTAAATGGTGAACCTACCAATCACAACACTACAAGTGTAACACACACAGCACTGCTTTAAGCAACCTTTTATCAGTAGTATCCTCAAGCTACATTTCAATCAAAAACAATCACAACCAGATGCCTTTCTCTCATTAAAGTTTCACAACACAAAAAAAGATATTTCTTAAGTTAATCTTATCTTACATACTTAATTTCAGTAAACAAATGCCATCTTTGAGTCATCTCAGTTTCTGCTTTACCATCCACTTCACCAATAGCATCTATCTACTTTACGTGATTCTAGTCAGATACTTTTCATAAAAACCAATCATAAAATTAATCAGTGTTTTCTCCACAAGTCAAGAAGGAATGCTTGTCAAAGGCTGTTCGAACGCAGTTTTATTTTAAAGATTCCAATTTTCAATGCAAGGAGTTGTGATTTTGGAAATTATCCTTTGATAATTTTGTTATGCGAAATGGTTTCTACGGACTTTGGAGAAGGATGCTTCCTGTGAGTTCTCAGCTGAGCATTTCTTTCGGATCCAATTTCACAGGGTCCCTCCCCCTGAAAACTAACTTTTAAACATTATGACCCATGATTAAATTGTTAGGTTATTTTTCGTTAGAACCAAGACACAAAATTAAATAATTATTTTTAAAAAAGGGTAGTTTTATTAAACACCTGGGACCAGCATTGTGGCATAGTGGATTAAGCCACACCTGCAACACTGGCATCTCATCTTAGGCACCAGTTCAATTCCAGGATGCTCCACTTCCAATCCAGCTCCCTGCTAATGTGCCTGAGAAGGCAGCAGGGAATAGCCCAAATGCTTGGGGCCCTGAACTCACATGGGAGACCCAGAAGAAGCTCCTGGCTTCAGCTTACCCCAGCTGCAGCTATTGCAGACATTTGGGAAATGGAACAGCAGATGGATAATCTCATTCTCTCCCTCTATGTATCTCTACCTTTCAAATAAATAAATACTTTTTTTGAAAATAAACTTCCACATAGCATTTTTGTCTATGTGTGGATTTTTATTTTTGAAACAGAAGCATTTTTTCCATTAACAAAAAAAGAGACTTTATAAATTATCTTATCCAGGGTCTCTCCAGGCTGAGCATTACTGACAGGACTGATTAATACTGTTAGGGCAGGCAGAGATAGTAAGGAATGGCTGTCCTTTGCACTGTAGGATGTGTACCTACATCTGTGGCCACTACCCACTGGATGCCAATAGCAGCCCACCAGGTATGACACTGCTAATGATCCATGGATGGAAAGGGGCCAAAATCATCCAGGCTGTGGAAAGAGCAATATAATCTAACTTTTCCCTTCAACAATCCAGCATAGCAGCTTATTCAAAACAAAAAGCCAAACTCCTCTTAATGGTCACTCTCCTTCCTCAGTCCAACACAAAAATGCACGCATGTACCATTCATAGAAAGTCTGAATCAATTTCAATTATTTGACAACTATAATGAAAATATCGAACATCTAAAATGTTGTTACTTCCTTGAAATAATACCAAAGACTGAATTGCATTTTTAAGATCATATAATGGATACAATGGTTTTAGACTCACACAAGCTTCTAGCAATATAATGAAATGTGTACCTTTCTCTCTGTCTCTCTCACTAACTCCATCTGTCAAATAATAATAATAATAAAAAATTTAAAAAGGGAGGGGTCAGTGCCATGACTCACTAGGTTAATCCTCCGCTTATGGCGGCGGCATCTCAAATGGGTGCCGGGTTCTAGTCCCGGTTGCTCCTCATCCAGTCCAAGCTCTCTGCTGTGGCCCAGGAGGGCAGTGGAGGATGGCCCAGGTGCTTGGGCGCCTGTACCCGCATAGAAGACCAGGAAGAGGCACCTGGCTCCTGGCTTCGGATTGGCGCAGCTCCGGCCGTTGTAGCCATTTGGGTAGTGAACCAACGGAAGGCAGACCTTTCTCTCTCTCACTGTCTAACTCTTATCTGTAAAAATAATACTAGTAATTAAAAAATTAAAAAGAAATGTGTCAAAAAGCTACTGCTTGAATGCCCCTGCACCCGCATGGGAGACTGGGAGGAAACACCTGGTTCCTAGCTTCGGATCGGTGGAGCTCCGGCCTTTGTGGTCACTTGGGGAATGAACCAATGGAAGGAAGACTTTTCTCTCTGAACCTCTCTCTCTCTGTAACTCTGTCAAATAAATAAATTCTTAAAAAAAAAAAAAAAAAAAAAAAGCTACTGCTTGAAGTCTATTTTTAAAAGACAAAGGCAAAGAGGGCGAGTGGGGAGGCAGGCGTGCAGAAATAGATTTTCCACCCACAGGCTCACTTCCCAAATGGCCACTACAATCAGGGTTGTGCCAGGCTGAAGCCAGTTAGCTCCATCACAGTCTTCTACATGGGTGGCAGGGGTCCATGTACCTGGGTCTCCATCCACTTCCCAAGCCATTAACAAGGAGCTGGATCAGAAGTGGAGCAGCCAGGACTCAAACTGGCATTCTTAAATGGGATCACATTAACCTGCTGTGCCACAACATGGCCTGCTTGTAACCTGTTAAAATATATACATTCTCAGGAGTGGGCATTTGGCCTAGCAGTTAAAGACACAAGTTGGGATGCCTACATGCCTGGGTTCAAAAGTCAGCTCCACTACTAATCCCAACTTCCCACTAATGCACAGCCTGAGAGGCAGGTGATGGCACACTTTAACCATGTTGGGGACCTGGACTGAATTCTCCACTCCCAGCTTTATCTTGGCCCAATCCCAGCCAGCCACTGAAGGAATTTGCAGAGTGAACCACAGGATGGGAGCTCACTCTCACTGTTTTTGAAAAGATAAATACATTATGAAATGTCAAATTACCAACACATTCAGATATTTTCTGGTTCCTATCAGAAAAAATAAGATCAAGTAAACTCTTTTCTCCTTTTACACAAATCACTTACTTGGCATTTCTCTCCAACTTCATATTGTAAACCAGCAGCAATGGAATAATCACGCTTTTGTTGAGCTATAAAAAAAAAAAATCAGCATAATATAAAGTTGGCTTTCAAGAGCAACAAAGCAAATTTACGAAAACTCAAGATTTTTCATTCACCTTGTTTAGACTTCAGCCAAATTTCATATTCCACATTTCTGTAGACTGCTGGATTGAGTGACTTAAGAACCTTTCTAGATAAGGGAAGGCTAGTAGAATTCCCATTGTTCTTCAAGTGCTAAACAAAGTCAGGAAGGCCAATCAACAGAGAAATACTTTTAAAACATTTTTGTTTGAGACACACATATAAGAGTAAAATCAAATGAAAAAACAAAACTTTGAAAACTTATGAAGTTGTCAATGAATTTTTTACCTGATGATCCTGACTCTACTGAAAATGTACCAGAAAAAAATAGGAAGACTATAATGTCATATCCCTTCTTATACTAATGAACTAGTTAAAACCATTTTTAAAAAATACCTCATCGCCTGACAAAGGTTTAAATCCATTCACATCATTAGCAGTTTTCCTCCTGCAAAGGAAAAAATATAACCATCAGTAAAAGCAGAAAAAATAAATATGGTATGTAATTAAATTCTAAATCTCTAAAGTCAGCTTTATTTCAAAAAGTCAAGAGATTTACTCCAGTGAGTTTTAGTATAGGTATACATAATAGATAATAATAAATAATACATATGTATATCAAAATAGAAGAAGTTTCTGGCCGGCGCCGCAGCTCACTAGGCTAATCCTCCGCCTTGCGGCGCCGGCACACCGGGTTCTAGTCCCGGTCGGGGCGCCGGATTCTGTCCCGGTTGCCCCTCTTCCAGGCCAGCTCTCTGCTGTGGCCAGGGAGTGCAGTGGAGGATGGCCCAGGTGCTTGGGCCCTGCACCCCATGGGAGACCAGGAAAAGCACCTGGCTCCTGGCTCCTGCCATTGGATCAGCGCGGTGCACTGGCCGCAGCGCGCCGGCCGCGGCGGCCATTGGAGGGTGAACCAACGGCAAAGGAAGACCTTTCTCTCTGTCTCTCTCTCTCACTGTCCACTCTGCCTGTCAAAAAAAAAAAAAAAAAAAAAAATAGAAGAAGTTTCTGGTAATTCTTACTGGCTCAGTAATCAAGAAAATAAAAAAACTGTGAGATTGAGTTGTCAGAATAACTGAATTTACAATTCAAAAAATTTTGCTTTCAATAAGCAGGTAAGGCTCTATTTAAAAAAAATAATTCCATTAAAACAGAAGCATCTCACTAAGGAAGAACTCAACAACTCATCCTTTGATTGAAAAGACTGGCTACATCAAATAATCTTTAAGACAACCAAAAAACCACTATCAGCCCTTTGAATTCACTGTAGCATACATACTCACACATTATTACATTCATTTACTCAACAAATATTTAAGTGGCCACCAAATGCCAGGCGCTATACATCAATTTGTACTGGGTCTAGCAGTCAAAACAGACAAACCTTATCCCGATGAAATGTATAATCTAGTGAGAGTAGATACAAACTAAGTAATTAATATGTTCAATGATTTTAAGTTCTATGAGGGGGAGGTAGAGAAAAAAGTGATAGTGTTCAGATAATAAGTTGGATGTGGAAAGTCTCTGCCATCTTATTTAATAAAAAAGGCCATGACGCAGCAACCTACAAATCTTTTTAGCGTTCTTGGCAGAAAGTATAACACATGCAAAGACCCACAGGTTGTCAAGAGGCTGGTACCACCCCATCCCCAATCAGGAAAATATATGCATACATTTTAAAAGAATCTTTATAATTAAGAATTACATATTCTAAGATTTATGTTCTATTTCTATCTGTACCTTCACCTGTGTAGCACACTAAAGTTACTTTCACATTTCCTACAAGAGGAATAATATATTCTTAGCTTCAATGAGAAGGTGGTAGAGTTGAAGAGCAAACTTACTTTTTTGTTGCTATAACTAATACATACTGGATACTGTATCTAGGAACTATGCTACATGCTTTACATGCTATCTCATTAAATTCTCAAAAGTTCTCCCCTAACCAGAAATACTGAAATAGCCTCATTTTATAGCTACAGAACTGAGGATTCTTAGAGAATTTAAGTTACTCTCTCCAAGTCCGGCTAATTAACAGCAAGCCAGGTTTGAATACCCAAGTGTCTTGTGCAGATAAGGAACATAAGCCTCAAAGTTCTAGAGTTCTATCAGGGTCGGTATTGTGGCACAGCCAGTTCAAGTCCCACCTATTGCAACTTCTGATCCTCAGCTCACTGCTCATGCGCCTGCAAAAGCAGTGGAAGATGGCACAATTACCTGTGCCCCTGCACCCAAATGGGAGACCCACATGGAGTTCCAGGCTCCTGACTTCAGCTGGCCTAACCCAGAGCCATTGTGGCCACTTGGGGAGTGAATGAGGGGATGGAAGCTTGCTCTCTCCCCATCTCTCTCTGTGACTCTGCTTTTAAAACAGTAAATCTTTTAAAAAAAAGAATCATTTACCCACTATACAGAAGGTTTATCAAGAAGCTATCAACTATATGTAACTCCAACTTGGGCCTTTTATAATCTGAAATGAGGAGGTACTACCTAAGAAAACATTGAGTACAGGAAATCAAATGACCATTTTTTTAAAACACTGGATATGTAAACACTTGACAGGTTAACTTTAACTTTGTTAAACACATCATATAAATAAGAATCCAATGTATTCTACAGATACACACCTAGAGTATATGCACATAGATTATTATCAACTAAAAAAATCAACATCCTAAAGTTCGATAATAGAAAATCAGGTAAAATCACTTGCAGGGACAAAGAAATTTCTACTGCAAACTTCAGTATTTCACCAATATGAAGGGATCTTCAAAAAATTCATGTGTTTTGGAAAAAAATTTTTGCAACAAAGTGAACTTCTCTTTTAATTCCATTCTACTACGAAGTACATTTGCACACAGGACCTCAATATGTGAGACAATTCTATGTAGAAACATTCACTGCAATGTTTCAATGTAACTAAAAAGATATTTTAACATTTAAAATCATTCTTACTTGCAACTATCATCCTCTGAATCTGATATTTCACTGTTGTTTCCATCAGCTACTTCAGAAGTGTCTAGTCCCATCACGATTTTACTGACATCAGCTTTAAATACCTTCTCATATAGCAATTCATAAAGAAGAGCTGCAATTAATGAAAGAAATATAATGTAACATTAATCACAAGCATTTTTCAAAAACAGAAAGAGGGCATAAAAACGTTCTAAAATTCCAACTAGAAATGTTTAACATCAGTAATACAATTCAATCTAAAAGTTACATACAGACTGGGCAGGTATTTGGCACAGATGCCTAAGCTGCAGCTCAGGACACCCCCATCTCTTATCAGAGTGCCTGCCTTGAGTCTCAGCCAGTTTCCTTCTCACGTGCACTCAGGAAGGCAGCACAGGACAGCTCACATATGTCAGTCTGGGGCTGGTATCGTGGCGTTGTGGGTCAAGCTGCAGCCTGCCAACACCAGCATCCCACAAGGGTGCCAGATTGTGTCCCAGCTGCTTCACTTCCGATCCAGCTCCCAGTTAGTGGCCTGGGAAAAAGCAATGGATGAGGGCCCACTTGGGCCCCTGCCATTCACGTCAAGTCCCTAGCTCTAGCCTGACCCAACATTGGCTGTTGCAGCCATCCATGTAGTGAACCAGTAGATGGAAAATATTTCTAACTGACTTTCAAATAAATAAATAAATAAATCCTTTAAACACACACACACACATACAGTACTTCAGTCCCTGCCTCCCTGCCTTCCACATGGGAGACCTGGATGGAGTTCGGGGTTCCAGACTGGTCCAACTCTGGCTGTTGTGGACATTTGAGGTATGAACATTGGGATAGGAGATCCCTCTGCCTTTCAAATAAAATGAAAATAAATAAAATTTTTAAAAGAAGTTCCAGAATTTGCCTCTGAGCAGGTATGTAGTTTGAAATCTACTATTTTTTAAACAGCAAAACAAATGTTTCACAATAATAAAACTAGTGTAACAGGAAAAGCTGAACATGTTTGCTGAATAATTACTACATTCAATACAGTTTGCTAAGCTTGTATGCACACTCCTATTTAATCCCTGGTTGTACAGATGAAGAGATCTGAAATTTGAGATGTCACATATTGTACCTTACCTCAGCAAATGCCAACAGAACACATTAAGAAACATTAAGAACGCTAGAAACAAAGGGGAAGGAGTTGAGCCTAGTGGTTAAGAACCAGTTAAGTACGAGCATCCCACACTGGAATACTTGGGTTTAGTACCTGGCTCTGGCAATCGACTTCAGCTTCCTGCAAATGGAGACTCCAGGAAGCTGCAGTGATGGCTGAAGTAACTGGGTTCCTACCTCTCAAACAGGAGACTTAGACTGAGTTCCTGGCTTCAGCTCCTAGTCATTGCAGAAATTTGGGGAGTAAATCAACAAACGGGAGCTCTGTCACTCTCATTCTGCCTCTCAAATAAATAATTTCTAGAAAAAACAATACAGCTTATCATAAAGGACTCAGAAGACTTGGGTGCTAGCTTTAGTTTTTCCACTAACTGTAAATTGAACAAAAAACTTCTCAGATTTCTTTTTTTCTTTTTTCTATTTACTTATTTATTTATATAATTGAAATGTAGAGTTATGGAGAGAGGGAGAGAAAGAGAGAGCTTCTATCCGCTAATTCACTTCTCATATGGCTACAACAGTCAGGACTGGACCAGGCAGAAGCCAGGAGCCTAGAACTCCATCCAGGCCTCCCTTGTGGATGGCAGCCATCTTTGGCTGCTTTCCCAGGCATATTAGCAGGGAGCTAGATCAGAACTCGAACAGCCGGGACTTGAGCTGGTGCTCACATGGGATGCTGGTGTTGCAGGTGGTAGCTTAACCTGCTGCACAACGTCAGCCCCAACCTTGGACAACTACTCAGATTTCTGTAAAACAAAAAGATGTCTGATTATATAACTCAGCTCCAGAGTAACCTTATGTAAGACATTAAAAAGAAATTGTTATAAACTATATTCTCAGCAGCTACTGAGACTGTGTTGCCAAAATAAAAATTCTGAAAACAGAAAAATGTTACCAAAAGTTTAAAATCACACTATTTTTTAAGACTCTCAATTAATTTTACTTATTACAGTAAACTTCTTATGAAAACAAGAATACAAAGAATTCATCAACAATGGGTGGTCACCCTATAAAGAAGTCCCCAGAAGAGACTTCCTCCTCACAGACCATGTTTTTCCCATGGTCAGCAACAAGAGACACATTCCTGTATCACCCAAACTTAGAAGTACAGGAAAGCAGACTACGGGTCCTATCCTTCCCAAAGCTGAAAACGTTCAGATTTTGACTAGTTGGAGGAAGAGTGGGAGATACAGCCCAGGACACAGATAGCTTTCACATCTTACAACAGAACAATCAATTATTTTATTTATTAATCTGAGAGGCAAAGAAGACAAAGTTCCCATCCACTGATTTAACCCACAATAGCCTTGCCAGAGCTGAAACAGGTGCCAGGAACTCAAATCAGGTCTCTCTTATGGGGTGGCATAATCCTAGTTGAGTATAAACCATCACCACAGCCTCCCAAGATCTGCACTGGCAGAAAGCCAGAGTCAGGAGCCACAGCCAGAAAATCAACACAGGTATTGTAATGTGGGACACAGGCATCTTTACCTCTAGGCTAAACTGCCACCAATTCTTTAAACCTTGTATTACATATAAAGGAAAAGGCTAATACACATCGAGTGCCACTTTATATAAGGGATTTGGGCTTTGTTCTAACAGCTAATAAAAGGAACTAATAGTAGGAAGGGCAATTACTCTTTTAGAGCAGCAGTAATCAAATGGGATGACAGGAAAGAATTCATCCCCCAAGAAATATCTGGCAAAATCTGGAAATATTTTTGGTTGTCAACAATCAGAGTGGCAGAGGCAAGGATATCCCTGGACTCCACACAGAAATGCAAGAAGAGACCCCATAACAAAGAATTATGTGACCCAAAACGTCAGAATCCCTGCCATGGAGCCAAATACAATCCAAACCATTATTTATTCAATCATTTGGATTCTCAATCCATATACTAACAATTTTAAAATTGAATATAAATCCTTATGACTGAAATGACTAGTGAAAATATAACTGCACAGGTTGACTGTCCCTTATCTGAAATATCTGGGACCAGAAATGTTTAAAATTTTGGAGTTTTCTGGATTTCGGAATATTTGCTTAGACTTTCACTGGGTGAGAATACCTAAACCAATAATCTAACACCTGAACTGCTCCAAACCCAAAATTTCCTGAATGTCATGAAAGCATTTAAAAAGTTTCAGATTTTGAAGCACTCAAATTTCAGATTTCCATTTTAAACTGTTATTTACAAGTCAAATTCTAGCTAACAGCTCCTTTTTCCCCTTTGAAATGTTTTATAATATTAATATTCTCAGTAACCTAAGTTTCTTAGAAATATCTTCTACAGTACCAAAAAACAGAACATATTTAACCTTTTTTGTTTGCATTAAGGCTGTAGTTTAGGAACATAAATTCATATATAAACACAAAATGATACTTACACTGACACATAGCAGAAGTATCTTTATACTTTATGGGGTAAACAATATCATAGTGATTTCCATTTGAAAAACATAGTAATACCTGAAAGGGTAAAAATAAAACACATTTCAACACCATATATATATATATATACACACACACACACACACACACATATATGACATTTGCTAAGCAACTGAGTCTCCAAAATCCTAAATTATTTTTTTTAATTTTTTATTTAGTAAATATAAATTTTCAAAGTACAGTTAATGGATTACAATGGCTTCCCCCCCATAATTTCCCTCCCACTCACACCCCTCCCATCTCCCACTCCCTCTCCCATTCCATTCACATCATGATTCATTTTCAATTCTCTTTATATACAGAAGATCAATTCAGTATATATTAAGTAAAGATTTCATCAGTTTGCACCCACACAGAAACACAAAGTGTAAAATACTGTTTCAGTACTAGTTATAGCATTACTTCACATTGGACAACACACTAAGGACAGACCCCACATGAGAAGTAACTACACAGTGACTCCTGTTGTTGACTTAACAATTTGACACTCTTGTTTATGGCGTCAGTAATCTCCCTAGGCTCTAGTCATGAGTTGCCAAGGCTATGGAAGCCTTTTGAGTTCGCCGACTTCGAGCTTATTCAGACAGGGTCATAGTCAAAGTGGAAGTTCTCTCCTCCCTTCAGAGAAAGGTACCTCCTTCTTTGATGGCCCCATTCTTTCCACTGGGATCTCACTCGTGGAGATCTTCCATTTAGGTCTTCCTTTTTTTATTTTTCCAGGGTGTCTTGGCTTTGCATGCCTAAAATACTCTCATGGGCTCTTCAGCCAGATCCGAATGCCTTAAGGGCTGATTCTGAGGCCAGAGTGCTACCTAAATTCATTTCTCAACAGAAAGTGATCATGTTAAAAAGCAACCTAAAAAGCTCCAATTCTGTCAAACTGCAGTACATCCACATGCTGAAATGCTTTATAGCCATTAAATAAAAAATTTCCAAATGACCTGAGGAAATGTTTACAGGATCACAAAACAGACATAATCTCAAGTATTTAAAATATACAAAAAGACTGGAAGAAAATATTCTAAAACTTTGCTAATACTAACCTGTGAAAGGATGATCAAATGTAAATTTTTTCTGCTTCTTTAACGTTTTAAGTATTTCCTAAATGGTCAATTACTGGAGCTGGCGATGTGGCAAAGTAGGCTGAGCCTTTGCCTGTGGCGCCAGCATCCCATATGGGCGCCAGTTATATCCCGGCTGCTCCATTTCCTATCCAGCTCTCTACTAATGGAGGATGGCCCAAAAGCTTGGGCACCTTCATCCACATGGGAGACCTGAAGGAAGCTCCTGGCTTTGGATGGGCCCAGTTCCTGCCATAGCAGTCATTTGGGGTGTCAACCAGCAGATGAAAGACCTTCCTCTGTGTTTCTCCCTGTCTGTTACTTACCAAGTGATATTATTTTGTATTTCCCTCCATCACTCTCTTGAACCCTCTTAAAACTTTTTAGCAGAGGGCTGGCACCCTGGTGTAGTGGGCTAAGCCTCTGCCTGCGGTGCCAGCATCCCATATGGGTGCCAGTTCATATCCCGGCTGCTCCACTTCCCATCCATCTCTCTGCTATGGCCTGGGAAAGCACTGGAAGATGGCCCAGGTCCCTGGGCTCTTACACCCATGTGGGAGACCAAGAAGCAACTCTTGGCTCCTGGCTGCAGCCAATTGGGGAGTGAACCAGCAGATGGAAAAGCTTTTTCTCTCTCTCCTTCTATCTGTAACTCCACCTCTCAAATAAAAATAATGAATCTTTAAAAAAAAAAAAAAACTTTTGAGTAGACACTAAAAATACTGATGCCAGTATATATGATGAACTAGAATATTAACCATCTTGTGTCAATTTAAATATTAAATACTAAAATAACCTGTGATACTGAGTTCTGCCATTCAGAAATACTTTGAGTAATCATTTATTTCCCATTGTGAAGATAATCTCTCTGGCAAGGTTGTTACTGCATTTTCTGGTTATAAAGCATAAACACAGAAAATTCTGTGAAGGTTAAGAAGAAAAAAAAAATCAACTGATATATTGTGAGAAAATTTTATTTTTAAAAATTTATTTGTTTGAAAGAGTGACAGAGACAGAGATCTTCTATCCACTATCTTCTATCTTTGGTTCCCAAAGGCCTCCAACAGCCAGGACTGGGTCAGGCTTAAACCAGGAGTCTGGAATACCAACCTGATCTCACATACGGATGGCAGGGGTGCAAGTACTTCAGCCATCATCTAATGCTTTCCCAGGTACACCGGCAAGAATTTGGATCAGAAGTAGAGTAACTAGGACTTGAATTGGACTCCAATATCTGGGATTTCAGTGTCCCGAGCAGCAACTTAACTTGCTGTGCTCAATGGAGAATTTTGTTTTAGTTAACGATTTTGGATTCAGGCAGGCCAAGTTGAAATGAATTGTGTGTCACCTTATTCATGGTGGTAAGTGGGAAGAGAGTCAAGTTTGATACAACCATGCATAATTTGAGGTTTTTAAGTAGTTGCTTTTTATGTTTTTATATATAGAGATATAAAATACATTTTACAATGACACTTCCAGTGTATTTTTAAATCATAAGCTTTTAATCCTCTACTAAGAATTCAACAAACAGGAGGGAATAAAACACTGTCCCTTAATATTAGATGAGGCTGTAAACAATAATCAAATCACAAAATGGCAATTTCATTCAAGTATCTTATACTTTCTCGTACTCAGTTACCACAGATCAGAGAAAGCATATGATAGTTGTCTTTTTGGGACTGGCTTATTTCACTAAGTTAATGGCTTCCAGTTACATCCATTTGGTTGCAAAAGCCAGCATTTCATTCTTCTTTACAGCTGAGTTGTATTCCATATATATATGGAATATACACACACACCCCTCATTTTCTTCATCTAGTCATTGTTTGATGGACATCTGGGGTGATCCCTTATCTTAGCTATTGTGAATTGAACTGCAACATGGGAGTAACAGATAACTCTTTTCATGTGCTGATTTCATTTCATTTGGATAAATTCCCAAGAGTGGGATGGCTGGGTCACATGGACGATCTGTTTTCAGATTTTCCGAGGAGTCTCCATACTGTCTTCACCCACAGCGGTTGCAGTAGTTTACATTCTCACCAACAATGGATTAGGGTACTTTTCCCCCCACATTTTCGCCAGCATGTACTATTTTTGATTTCTGTATATATGACAGAGATTCTAACTGGGATGAGGTGAAACCTCATTGTGGTTTTGGTTTGCATTTCCCTGATGGCTAGTGATTCTGAGCATTTTTTCATGTGTCTGTTAGCCATCTAAATCTCATCTTTTGAAAATTGCCTATTAACAACTTGAGGTTTTTCAAGGGATATCAATTTATTTGTTTTTTCTAATACAAATTTTGAAATACGACATTTTCTAAATAAAATCTATTACATTTCTCTGTGCATAAGTGATTGCCCATTTTTTAAAAATATTTTTAAAATTTATTTATTTGAGAGGCAGAGTTATAGAGAGAGGGAGAGACAGAGAAAAAGGTCCTCCATCTGCCAGTTGGGCTGACCCAAAGCCAGGAGCCAGGAACTTCTTTCGGTCTCCCACGCAGGTGCAGGGCCCCAAGCACTTGGGCCATCTTCTACTACTTTCCCAGGACATAGCAGAGAGTTGGATCAGAAAAAGAGCAGCCGTGACATGCACTGGCACCCATATGGGATGTTAGCTACTATGCCACAGCACTGGCCCCCATAGAGAAGTATTTCCAAAAGCCATTTGAAATTATAGCTTAGAGGTCAGAGAAGCAACCAAATAACTCTTTTACCTAAGTCCTTTACAAACAATTGGAAAAAGTCTTACCTTTTCAGGAAAATTATTTTCAGTTACTTGTGCCGGAGAAACATTTGGTTCCCGATAAATTATAAAATCTTTCCTGAAAATAACATTTGGAAATTACTTCCAGTACAATATACTTCATGATCTAAATTTAACCATTCATTCATTTACTAAGAGCCTACTTAATACATGCCAGGTGCTAGAGAATTAACTGAGTTCTGGGTTAACCATATAGCAAAGTGTCTTCTAAAACTTAAAATTTTAAATTTGGATACAAAGAAACCTCAAATATAATTCTACAGGGGACTTCAAAATCAGAGAGATTATAAAATAATTTAAATGAAATTTTGAAAAGAAAAATCTAGGTATCACCTGCTCCTCTACCAGGCAAAAGTAGTAAACTGAACAATATGTTGCATTAGTTTTAGTGGCCATTCAATGGTACTAGCCCAAAGAAGTTAAGAAAACCATTTCTCTACAAGGTTAGTAAGAGGTGTACAGGGCAGAGCCTAAAAAATTTTATGTACCCTTTCCCAAAAATATATTCAGAATTAAAACTTCTAAATGTAGACACATCATGTAAGTAATGCCATTTATAAAACAAAATCTTAGAAAAGATGTCTCACTACCAAGGTATAAAAAATAGCTTTACTATTTTAACATATTTAATAACAGAATATACTAATTTCCCCAAGTTTTGTTTACCTATGTTATAGTGTTTACCTGTACATAAGAGAAAGGGCACTTATTTCCACTTGTCCTACCCACTCCTGTATTGGAAAAAAAAAAATTGGCATGTAAATGTCTCACTTTTCATAATTTATATAATACCTCATATGTAACTAATGAACTTTTAGAAATTATTAGTATTGTATATTATAAAAGCATTTATATAAAACAGGCCATATTATATACAGTCCAAATCTCTGTCTCAAAAACCCTTGGTAACAGTAATGGGGTGTTACTGATGGTTTCTACTGGTGTGGGAAGACCATGGAGTGAGATCTTTAAGTTCAGAATTTGTTCAAAGTAGGGGGTTCCTCCAACCTAGCACCCGGGACAGAGCTTAGCATAGTATAAGCTCCCCCAACAATGAAATGCTGAATAGAAAACAAAAATTATAAATTGACTGCTATATTGAGATGGATATAAGTCAAGGAACTATCCCAGCAAAAATTTCAAAATAATGAATATTCTACACTCAAATCACTTGAAGACTTCCTGGAAAGCAAACAGCCAGTAAATATCAACATGTAAAATGCTCATATACTCTTTGACCCAGCAATTCAATTTCTATAAATCTATCCTAAAGGAATATTTTTTATGGCTGAAAGAGACAAACCTTTAAGATTTATCTCTAATACGGTTTATCCATACTACTGAGAAACATGTAGTCCTGAAAAAATGAGGAATACCTTTCAGGGCTGGCACAGCACTATAGCAGAAAAGCTGCTGCCTACAACTCCAGCATCCCATATGGGTGCCAGTTCAAGTCCTGGCTACTCCAATTGTGATCCAGCTTCCTGCTACCTGGGAAAGCAATAGAGGATGGCCCAAGGTCTTGGGCCACTGCACCCAGGTGGGAGACCTGGAAGCAGCTCTTGCCTACTGGCTTCAGCCTGGCAATTGCAGCCATCTGGGGAGTGAATCAAAGGATGGAAGAGTTCTCTCTATACCTCCCTCTCTCGGAAAGAAGGAAAGAAGGAAAGAAGGAAAGAAGGAAGGAAGGAAGGGAGGGAGGGAGGGAGGGAGGAAGGAAGGAGAAGGGAAGGAGAAGGGAAGGAGAAGGGAAGGAGAAGGGAAGGAGAAGGGAAGGGAAGGGAAGGAGAAGGGAAGGAGAAGGGAAGGAGAAGGGAAGGAGAAGG